TCCTCGAGATTAGATATCTTTTGAGGAACAGTGACGAAGATCACGCCTACTACGCGCTCTGGAAGGAAGGGCCCAGGTTCAGGGAGTCGGCTTTGGAATTGGTAGAGCTAATTAGAGCTATTTCACCTAGAGGTCTCAGAGAGGCACCGAGGTTTGATCAACCGGCCGAGTTCTGGACCGCTTTCGATAGAGCCATGAGGGAGCCGCCGAGCCACCTAGCTGGTATAGCCGAGTTATACGGGACTCCTGGATACGACTCGTCGGTTAGGGAAGGCTCACTCATTGGGTTCTTCGAACTCCGGACATACTACGAAGGGACAAAGGCAGTAAACGACGAGGACATAGAGTACGGGGAAGAAGATTGGGATCTAGCCGAGTGGGAACGGTTAAGGGACGACGACCGTGAAGAGTGGGAAGACGCCGCAGATTTTCCCGAGGAAAGGGTGGGGTACTTCAGGAACGCTAGCGAAATAGAAGATTATGTCGAGGGACGTTGGCCACGACTAGGGGTCCGAATGAGCCTAGAGCGAACTCGGTAAAACTGTCTGTGAGGAGGAAGGCGCGGAAGAGTAACGATAAGAGGATAAGGTATGAAAAATGTCAGGTTATTGCCCTAGGGTCACAGCGGCCCTAGACGCCTTAGTTCCTATTACTAGTGGGGGAGCCTTTCCTTACAAAATAGAGAGTTGTATATCTCTAGAGGAAAGTCATGCTCCGGGGAAAGCTTATGTCTTGGTAATAAAGCACCTCGACACAGGAGAATACGATATCCGCCCATACGTGTCTCTGCTAAGGGAGAGAGAGACAGATCGTGAGTCGCTTAAGAACTGGATTAGAGATGTAATCAGTAAGGAAAGGAAGGAGTTAGAGAAGAAGGGGAAAGAGGTGTTTAGTGATGAGAACCCCGTGTTGTTTTACGGCGTACCCGAACCTAGTCTACCTGACAGTTTTACTGACGGCAAGAACTGGGAGCCTTTAATTAATATGGCGCTCAGAGCAAGGAGTTGGGGTCAGTAAGGATGCCGGGTCTTAGGGAACAATTCTCCTTCAAGGCCATAGTAGAAGAGAGAATGGTAAAGGTTGAGGGCACCCTCCAAATTCCTGATATAGATCTCTTTGGGTTTGAAGAGCTTGAACTCATACAACCTTATCTGGATCGTATGAGGGAGTCGGCTTTGAGGGTAATTACCAACCAAACCGAGATCAGTTATCTACTGAAGGTGGAAAGAGTAGGGACCTCTGGGAGAAAATACTATCGGCTGGTCAGGGAACGAGTCCAGTTGTGTTAGGCGGGGGTGGCCAAAAATGTTGGGTCATGAACGAGTAAGGCATAAGAAGTCTGTAGAGAAACTTGAGGAGCGGGATAACAAGATCATCGCTGGGAACCGACCGCCGCAAGAGAAGTTTGATGCGGTATGTGCATCCTTGAGTACCCTAGGAAGAAGGGAGGAGTTTCCGTATGAGGTGGAGGCCTATGAGATGGTCGACAGCGCATGGGAACTGAGCCGCCTCTATGTTATGACCGCGCGCTTCCTAGGGACTGAGGCAAGAGACGTAGGCATTTACCTACCAACAGAGAGGTCGAAAGATTTAGTGTATGGACGTTGCTGGCAAAGAGCGAAAAAAGTGGTGGAGGACGAGAAGGATAAGCTCCTTTCCTTAAAGAAAGAAGTCGCTTGGAGTACCGAAATGAGGTTCTTTGAAGACTTGCCTAGGCTGCCGATTCCTTACGAAGCATTGACAGAGATCGGTCGAGGTTTAATAATTGATTTCATAAACCGCCACCATAACCCGAATGGCCAAAGGGAACGAGAGTAGTCAGCCTGGGGGGGATATATCAAATGAACTAAGACAGCGTGATCATGATAGGTGGAGGTCCAAAGAGCTGCTCAGACTTTTGACGGAATGCACCCAGGAGGACTTGCGTACTCTAGGCACGACAATCTGTAGGAGAGTTCGATCTGATGAAACAGGGTTGATAAAGATTAAGAGAGGAGCCTCTTGCCTACGAGATCAAGAAGGGGAACTCTACCTTGACACAGACCTGTTCGGAGTAGAAGGTGAGCACGTGATAAGAGATGGCAAAGGAAGATTGATTGGAATCGTGAGGGCAGTGGAGGATTAGTGCAAGGGAGACCGAGAGAAAGAATGTTTCCAAGACCAAGAGCAGGATTAGGAGCCATGCTGAGGGAGTTGACCAAGAATGAGGAGGTGTAGGAAATTGGATGAGGAGAAGTCGAGGGAGTTGGTCCGCTCCCTTAACTCTATATCGAAGAAAGCAGTGATCCCATACGAAATCGTGAGATATGAAGGTCTAAAGAGTCAAGGATGGGGGATGGATGGTATGTATGTCATCACCTACTACTTCATCAACCTTGATGAGTATGATGTGGGAATATATGTGTCGCAACATAGGTTTAAGGAAGACGTAAAAGGTCGTTGTTGGCAACGGGCCTCGAACATAGTGCATGATGAGAAGAGAAGACTCCAGCAATTAAGGGCAAATTTTTCGTGGAGTACCTACGTTAGGCCTGTCATTGGAATACCGTCGCCGCCAGTCGAAGGACTTACGCTCGCTGACAATGAATGGTCAGTCGTGATAGACCTCGTATGGAAGGCGAAGAGGGCGCAAGGCGAACTCAACGATGCCAAGAACAGTGACTGAAGAGGAAGAGGTGAATCGAGTATCATTCGCTGGCAGAGTAACATCAGTCGTTAAAATTCGGTCAACCAGGTCTCTAGACGAACAGGGTTGCAGACAGCTTGCTCAAAGGGCAATTGAGAGAGAGAGACCTAGGGTTCGGGGGCTAGTGAGAGCTGAGAGAAGAATAACTTATGATGTGATGGTTTGGTCTCAAGGATAGCTGAGGTACGAAGTGAAGAAAGAAGAAACAGTCCAAGAAGCAGAATCCCACGTGTAAGAGGGAGTGACGAGAATATTAATTCGCTGCTTGAAGCATATTCGAACTTAGTGAACGATAAGATAGTGCAACTGGTAGACGGATATAAGGAGTGGAGCGGCTCTACGGATGTGCGAGAATTACAGGCGCTCTAGCGAAGAGTAGAGAGACTGGCCTTAATCTACAAGGAGGAAAGGGAGAGGATAATAAACTGGAGGGAGGAATTCCTGGCCAAGAAGATAAAAGAGATCCGCAAAGAGAACGAAGAAAAGAGGAATGGCTAGTGGTGAAGGCGAGGCCAGAAAGTATCGACTAATCTGTGGAGCAAAAAATGAGGGATCCTTAGTGAGGGCAAGGGTAGAAGTTATACATAACGAGAGGTTGAGTCAGGAAGAAGAACTTGAGGCAACCAGAAGAGCAATCATAGAAGCTAGGATTTGTGCTATCTGGAAGGCAGCTGACGAACTTCGAGTGGTAAAAATCGAGATCTGTACGACGCCATTTGTAGGAGAAGGATTTTTCAGGGAGTGGAGAGAGATCATAGCAGAGTCAAGAACCAGACTAAGGGAGGACGTTCGCGAGCCTGAGGAACTTTCAAGCAACGTGATTGACGTAGTTTCCCTGAGAACCTTGGAAGCTAATTCGGGGTATACAAAGGCCGTGTTGACCACCGCTTTAGTAATTAGAGCGGAAGGACGAGACACTGATTTCGAAGCGCTGTTGGAACTGTTGGTCGACTCCACTGAAAGGATCTTAGCCGCGTTGAGAAGTGTGGCCGAAAGTTAGACAGGGTGTTCAAGGATTAGCCAGGAAGGATGGACGGAGAAGGGGTTTATCTAACCTCGATAGGGGGTGAAGTGAAAACACAGGAATCGAGAACGAATAGTCCAGACAGAAAAATGAGCGTTGAAGTGGACAATGACGCGGAGAGAATAAGGAGGGTCTTAAGAGAACTAGATACTCGTGTCAAGGAGCCGGATGGACGGAGCTCTAGGAGCGAGGGCTGGAGAAAAGAAGCTTTGAGCAGGACAAAGATGACAAGGTTTGTGGATCATGGGATAAGAGAACCTCATAGAGAGGTCGCGAGTGAGCCTTACAGGAGGGGCCCTCATTCCATGGCGTATGCGTCAGGAGCTTATGTGTCTCCCTTCCTAGGGGCCCCAACGTTACAATCTCCCGGGCTGGCTGGAATTCAGACAATCTTTACAGGGAAGAATGTCACGGAATTTCTAGATGATTGGGAAGTGTTAGGAATGCGAGCAGAATGGAGTGATCAAGACATGATAGTGAACTTCCTGCACTATACAGCCCCAAAGATAGACCGTGAAGTGAGGGACGCCATCCCAGATAATTGGCGTTGGTTGACGTTCAGGGAGAGAGTTGCCCGAGTCTTCGCATGTGATGAGACCTCTTACTCAATAGACGACTTAAAAAGGATGAAGAAGCAAGAAGATGAGAGTCTAGTCGCGTTTGCGAGGAGATAGGAGAAGGCGTCTAATCCCCTGGCAGAAGGAGGGTTTATGGGGGAGATAGAGCGATGAGGGATATTTTTAGGGTTCTTATCCCGAGAGAAACGCGATAAGATCATGAGGGATCTTCCGTCCAGAGTGGTGTTCGGTCAAGTCAATCTTTTAGTCCACGACACAGAGAGACAAAGCGCTAAAGCACACCTCGCAAGAATCCTCGACAAACTAGGGAAGGAAGTAACTGCGGACAATAGGGGAGGAAGACCTCAGTATGAGGATAGAAAAACCCGAATTGAGGGAAGAGATGTCGGCACAGGCTCGCCTAGGAGGGGGGAGTCTATTAGAGGCGATAATTATTGGAAGAAAGGAGGTAGAGGAGATTGGAAAAGGAACGACGGAGAATGAGGGACTTCCTCCAAGTGGTCCAACATTAAGGATAGCCGGTGGAAGCCGAAGGAAGAGATAAAAGTTAGGAGGTCTAAAAGACGAGATGAGGAGATGGTGAAGCAGATAGAAGTTCTGAAGGCGGCGGTGGAGAAGCTACAAAGTAGTAACCAAAGAAAGGTAGAGACCCCGACTCGAGCCGCTCCCTTAACTGAGAATCGTGGGGACCCTAGTCCGAAGCAGACTTGGAATAGTAAGGCTTGTATCTACTGTGGGGACGAGGACCACCAAAAGAGAGACTGTCGTGCGATGATGGAAGTCCTAACGGAAGGCATCATCGAGTTAGATGATCGGAAGTATGTGATGTGGGCAGATGAAGGGAAGCCAGTGCCCTTCTTACCTTCGATGAAGATCAATGTGAATATCAGGAGGCGAAGGATGAATGAGGCAAAGGGGAAGCAAGCACAAGAGTCAGGGGCGGTGAAGGTTTCCCGGGTGACATTCGAGGAGGATCTTGAAGAGCTACCAGAGAGTCCTGGGATGCGGATCTCTTCTATTAATTTTGAAGATACCGAGGATGATGAAGAAGTTTACGTTTGCACTCAGGGTGTTGGCGAATCAAGTAAAGGAAAGAAAGAAGACCAAGACCAACCAATGGCGGACGAACAGGTGGAATCGCCTAAGTCACCTCAGTCCCCTAGGAAAAGAGGGGCCAAGAAGTTTCACTCTAAAAGTTCGCTGGATGAGGTAGATTTGAGGGAGCCGTTAAGGAGGGCTATGGATATGCCCATTCCTATTACCTTGAAAGAGTTCATAGCCAGTTGTGGACCAGCGGGAGATGAGCTAATAGGAATGATGAAGAAGGCTAAGGTGCCACTAGCGGAAGCTGCAACTTCAACTGAGCTGAAGATAGAAATGAAGACATTTGTTCTAGGGGCAGAAAAAAAAGGAGTAAAGCATATAGAAACCAATGATGGTGAAGATGATTATTTTTATGTTCTTGGTAGCGGAAAGTTGAACGTCACCGTCAATGGGATAAGGATGGAAGCTATAGTAAACGACGAGTCTGAATCTACCGTCTGTGAGGATAAAGTGGCCCGAAAGCTGGGTCTAGAGGTGGACAGGTGTGTGACCATGACCATGGTATCAGCCAACAAGTTAAAGCAGCCTGCCCTAGGGGTGTGTCATAAAGCCAAGGTCGTGGTCGCTGGAGTCGAGGCCACTGTACCTGTATTCAAAGTTGAACACTGCTCGTCGGAGCTAATCCTTGGATGAACATGGCTGACACGTGTCAATGCCACCACCGAGAATAAGCGTGATGGGAGCCAGACGGTGACCATAGAGGGCCCGAGGGAAGCAGAGTCACCCTAAAAACTGTGAATGAATTTGACAAACGTCATAAGGTTTCCCTACAAAACAAGGGACTGTTAAAAACGAGAAGTTGTCAGATGATCCCTGAGGAAGTCACTCTTGGACCACATAAAGTGAAAGGGACTAAGATTGAAGTTGAGGACTTGGAGAACAAGTACGTGGTCGATGAGATGACTTATGAGAAGGAGGTTGACGACGACGAGTTTGGTGGGTGCGTGAATCTATCTTTTTTGGAGGAATTCCCCCACACGGCGGGGGAAAAAGATACAAAATAGTAGCACAAAAAGTCAAGCCAGCCGCGGTCAGCCGTGATAGGACCGGGGAGATAGGAATCACTGAGGAAGAGATCACTCAGATGATTAGGGAGCGAAAGACTACTGAAGGGCAAAGAATTACCGATGACAGGATGGAGGGGATGAACATTGGTGACGGGAACATAATTAAAGAAGAAAGGGAGTTGATAATAGATACCTTAAGAGCGTGCGACAGGGCAGTGACCTTTTGTGACGCGGAGAGAGGAAGGATAGATCCCAGATATGCTAAGCCCGCAAAGATCTATACGGTATCACACATGCCGTGGAATGATGCCGGGTGGAAGTGCGCGCGAAAGGAGAAAGAGATGATAGTGGATTTCTTAAGGGAGAAGATAAGAACGTTCGTAGCGGAACCATGTGAGAGCGCCTACGCCAACAGATGGTTTTTCATTAGGAAGTCGAATGGGAAGCTCCGATGGATACAAGACCTCCAGAAAACGAATAAGGTCACAGTTAGGGACGTCGGATCTATCCCTAATGCAGATCTTCTATCTGAAGGAGCGGCTGGACGCTCGATTTACTCAGTCTGCGATCTTTTATCAGGCTACGATGAGATTCCGCTTGATTATCGAGACCGACATCTGACTGCAATGCACACGCCGTTAGGGCTAATACAGATGATGGTGGTGCCAATGGGATGGACTAATGGCGTAGCAGTCTTCCAAAGAGCGATGATGACAGTCTTAGAAGAACTTATACCGAATTTAGTAGAGGTCTTCCTGGATGATTTCCCAATTAAGGGACCCTACGAGAAGGACGAGACAGAGGTGAGGCCTGGAGTAAGGAGGTTCGTCGCTACCCATGCTTAAGATATTAAGAAGGTGTTGGTGAAGTTGGAGGATGCTAATCTAACCGTAAGCGGAACTAAGAGTAGGTGGACAGTGTCTTCTATAAAGATACTAGGGTACATTTGTGACAAGGATGGTAGCAGACCGGACCCCGCGAAGCTAAAGAAGCTTATGAACTAGCCTACTCCGCTAAGGCATATTACCGATATACGTCAGTTTCTGGGGGTAGTTGGGTTTAGGAAGAACTTTATAAAGGGCTACGCTGAAAAAGTTGAGCCGCTAAGAAGGCTCTTGCGCAAAGGAGTGGAATGGAGTTGGACGAGTGAGCAAGAGGATACTGTGAGAGCCCTAAAGGATGAATTTAAAGAAGGGGGATAAGTTCTCAGTGTTCCTTACTTTGAGAACGAGGAGAAGCGACTGTTTGTAGTATGCACGGACGCGGGACCTGCCTCCGTTGGGGGGGGTTTAGCTCAGAAAAACCAGGAGGGCCGTGAGAGACCTCTTAGATTCGAGAGTAAGACCTTAAACACCACTGAGAGGAACTACTCACAGTTTAAGAAAGAAGTCCTAGGGTGCTACACTGCCTGAATGTCTTTCGTCATTACATTTACGGACGAAGATGTATACTGAGGGTTGACCCAACAGCGGTGGCAGCCGTCCTACAGAAAGATTTTTCGTTAACGGACCCCACAATTACTAGATGGCTCATGCACATAAGAATGTTTGACTATGTAGTGGAACGGATATCGGGGGCTAAGAATTCAGTGGCGGATGGCTTATCGCGAATTCGGTTAGAAAAAGGAAACCTAGGATCACCCGGAGGAGTTGACAAGTTTTTACAGATGAAGATAGGCTCTCTAAGAGTAGAGACAAGCACGACTAGGACTCCGCTATTCTTCGAGAATCTCTATACGGGGAAATACCACCGGATAGGGCGGTATCTCATAGGTGAGGCAGAGTCGGATGACAAGGTTAGGAAGGAGACTCAACAATATTGCCTAAGGGCGGGCCACCTTTTTAAGAGGCCACCTAAGAACGGGATGCCTATGAGGGTCGTCTGTGACGAGGATGAGCAACGAGACACAATAGCGGAACTTCACGACGGCGTCGTTGGGGGACACAGAGGAGTGAAAAGAACCTTTGAGAAGGTCAGGAACCTTTATTGATGGGATGGTCGATATATAGATGTGGAAGCGTATTGTCTCACTTGCGTGGAGTGTCAGAAAAGGGTTGTGGTTAAGTATAAGGAACCACTGTTTCCTTCGTATCCTACAGCCGTAGGTCCCGCATCCCCGCCACGCCCCTTCTCGTACAACGAGAAGAGGACACGAGTATGCGAGTGGGACGTACAGGAAGTCGTCGCAAAGATCGACAGGAGATACTATTTCCCTCCTGAAACTCGGTGCTCTGGATTTGTCGATGCTGGTTTTGTTATTGTGGACACACATTTTTCGCCTTATTCGTTGCTATTGCCGTTCAATGAGTTAATTGTCATCCCGTGGTCGGCAGTGGCGCCGCATTGGCCTAACACTCTGTGCAGCGATTGTCGCCGCCTCGAGCGTTATGAATCGAAGGGCTTTCACTACCGAGTACGAGGTGACGACGAGCATAAGGAAAGAGCCACTCGGTTACGGCCTTCCACGTTAGACTCGGAGTTGTGTAATGAGCCACATCGAGACTTGACCCGGAAACGGGATACCAAGTGCGTACCCGCCCCCTTCCACGTGAAACGAAACGCAACAACTCGATGGAAAGTTCAACGATACTTTTTCGATTGAATTTTTTCGCGCCGTGCGTTCCGTGCGCGGCTTCTTTTTCCTCAAAACCCGCGCAGTGACGGACCCCTCCCCCTTCTTACTAAGTCGGACCGACACAGGGGATTTCGGTTTTGTCCGTGTCCCCGCACTCAATTTTCCAAAAATCCTTGGCACACCCCATCTTGCTGCCTTTCTGGGGCTCCTTTTTGCAATTTTAAACACTCCGAACAGAAGACAGCACAGGGCGTGAGGTTGAGCGTCACACCCGACCGCAACGGGCAACCGCGGCCCCAAAACCCCGTGATTAAAAAAAAAATAGAATAATAGGCAAAAATATATATATATATATATATATATATATATATATATATATATATATATATATATATATATATATATATAT